GATCTAGTTTAAAAACTCCAACTTCTTTTTTTTGAATTCCTAATTTCGACAAATAATAAGTGTAACACTAGTCCAATCCTTGACGTATATCGTGTTTTTGAAGGTACAATACTACTTGGTAGTTATACGTGTAAACCAAAATATCGATAAATTAAACTATGCACGCGCCTTCTCTCCACGGAATAAAAAGTGATGCTCTTCTATTATAGGAATTCACATAAAACTTTTTGTGACATTCGATTGGGCGTTTATAACAACTAAGTGTTGCGGAATGACAAGTTTTTAGTAGAAAAAAAAATGGTATTTTACTAAAAAGACAACAAGTTTTTAGGTGTTAAATCTAAAAAAATGCACAGAATTTCCGAAAAACAAGATTTTGGAAAATCTATGGTCTTCTATTATGTGTCTTATGAAATTTTTCTTGTGAGTGACCTTTTAATATAGGATGATCTTCTGTTGTTCAGGAGTGCTCGATTAAAGTCAGATCTTCAGGTTGAAAGACAACTTTCATTTAGTTTTCTTAGTTAAACTTCTTGAATAATCAGTGTTAATCTATTAACCCTAGTAGTACCAAGCCATTTTTAGCATATTACTAGTAGTATACAATTTTTTAACCAGATTATTTTCATTTTGTATCCATGTTTTAGTCTAGATGTGTTATTTTCATATTTGATTTGATAAAGGTAAACTATCAAATTGATGATCTTTCCTTAGTTGGAACAATTAATACAAAAAAATATGTTTTACCGAATACTTGTTACAAATAAATTCTGAACATTTATGACATTTATTTGAAATTTTTCTATCTTTAGAGAAATGGCAAATTGAACATCGTTTTCATCCGAGTTGAATAGAGTTCTCATTTACTTTTTCTGCTCCGTCCTCTATCACAGGACAGTCCAGGACAGCTAATGCATTTTGAACATCTTTATTGACTAAGAGAACAGGAACAAAAGAAACGAATAAGTGTATTTCGAAATATGTGGGATAGTAAAGACAATGAAAAAAAAGCTAATTTTAAGGAAGAATCTCGTGTTTTTCTTCCATATAGAAAATATGAGTTTTTTAACATTGTTTAAAGATTTTCCAAGCAACTTTTTGAATTTTTTATCTTAAAAAAATGGCGTAAGAAAACTTCAATACATACAATTTTATAGAGCTCGACGAGTTCTGTCGAATCATCTAAAAATATTCAAGAAAAAAAAATCTTACTCCATTTTTGAATTACTGACATCTTAGTTTTCTATGCCAAAAATGTATGAAATTTCTCAAAATTTCTTAAGTTCAACATTACAAATTTCACAAACCCCTTACTATTTAGTATCATTAAATCCCATTTTTGACGCGCTTTCATTTTGTATAAAATTCATTGTATACTGCTTCCTCGAATAAAAGTGGTGTCACATATCCAAGATTTTGGAGATGCACATCCCTCACAAGAAATGTCGTATCTTCCGCGGAAGATGCGGCATCTCCATAGGGAGATATGGATGCATCTCCAAAATCCAGGATATGTGATACTGCTGTCGAATAATATTATTTCCTGTTCTGCGTCTTGGGGTATTCTGCTAGTTGGTCACGTCCATATATATATCATAGTGACCCTAGCATAGAATCAAGAACAGAAAGAAAAAAAAACAAAATATTTCCACTGTATTTTCAAATTTTTACGTGTAGGTCAAAACTGACCCACTTGGCACTACTAGGATTAATAAAATTTAATCGATTAAAAATTTGTTTGTAAAAATCAACTTTATTTGGTAAAAATTGAATTAAAATAGTAGCATTTTAATCGATTTTTAATCAGAAAAATTCGATTAGACTAAGATTTTTTTTTTTACAGATACAGAGCAATTTTTTTGCCCTACTTTGTGACAGTCTCTGTCGCACACACGCATGACTTCGTCGGTGTTTTTTCCTTCCCAAGGTAAGCTGTTAAGAAAAGTAATGTTTAATAATCATCATTCATTTTGACTCATTCCCCTATTAGTAGTCATGCGTAGTTTCATTCAAGCGAGGAAAATTGGAAAAACCAACAAAAACCTGTAGGAAGAAACAAATTCAACCGTTTAAAAAAATTTTATTTCAAAAGTATAATTCGATGTGCATTAAAATAATTCAATTTTTAAAGTAAATGATTACAAATCAGAGAATCATCAATGATTCGAACGCTCATATTTTCATAGCTCATTATTATTCTGTGCAATTAAATCTTTCTTTTTTCTTTCTCTGTATAAGTGATTTATAACAAGATAATAAAACGGAAGAAATGTATATCATTTACATGTACATTTTGTTTGGTTTTTTCCCATTAATTTAGTTGGATGACAGAAGAATTTTTACATAATTGAAAATATATCCCTTTATCATATCTATTAGGTCGATGCAAATAGGATTGATGATGTTGAGTATAACATGAGAAAATTCTTAGCAAGTTCATATTCTCATGAATGAATCCTATCAACAATTATGGTCATGAAAATATTTTTTTGTTAGATGAGTCATCAATTAGAAAATAATATTATCCAACAATATGAAACATCCGAAAGAATATCACATATATACAACAAACTCTATAAGAACTCCATACTCAATGTCTGTACATGCGAATTTGAAATGGTTCTAGCTCAATCCTTATTTGCTAATGAAAATGTATGTTTGAAATTTTTAAAATATTTCATAACTTTCATAATAAAATACTCTAATCTCTAGCCATATCCCTTAGTTATATATTTGCATCATGTTCGAAGTATAGCTATGCATGTATTTTATACAGAAATTCTTTCTAATAGGATAATTGTCAATTATCTTCATCAACACTTTGTCTTATGAGGATATGATCGTACGGATGACAGTGATTATAATCGATAAGTTCAAATCATTCACTTCAGTTGAAAAATCGTCCCTTTCTTTTTTCAACATACAGAGTTTTGTATAGATATTCTATTATATTTGCGATAGAAGTACTAATTGAGATAAGGCTTGAATAAATATTTTGAACTGAGGGTGAAGAATACGTTCAACTACAGTGCGAATCAAAAGTCTGGCCCCACTTTTTTGTTTTGAGTCGTGTATTAACACTACACAACATTAATTTAATTCAAAATAATATGTTTGGGTAGCGAAGATTGAGTACTATATATATATACACCAGTCCAATTCAAAAAACTCTTGAATATGAAATACAATAAGAAAAACGAACTTCAGTACTAAGAAAAATATGACATAAAAAAATACAAAATGATACTGCTATTATAGAGTACTTCCATTGGCAGTTAACCAGGAAAAACATAAAATATTCAGAAAACTTTCCATTTTATCAAACTTTTTAGACCCTGGTGTCCGAAAATGTTTGCAACATAGTTTGTTTTGCAAATATCTCTGCAGAAGCAAATAATAAAATCTTGGTTTTTCTTTCAAAAGATGCACTATGAGAAGGTCTACAAAAATCGTAAGAATGAAACCCTATTGACTTTTTTGATGATTTCTTTCATACTCAAAATGAAAAGAAAATACATGATAGTGCTACTTCCTACCGTATTTACTATAATAAAAATGTTTGGATGACTTTTATATTTTGAATGTATCTTGGCTTGAGAAAATGATCTCATCTTGATTTGTTTTTCAAAAGATGCGTCGTCGAAAGCTCTATAAAAATCGTATAAATAAATTTCTATTGCACAACAAAAAATCTTCCTAACATTTCTATTATCATTTTGTATTTTTTTTATGTCATATTTTTTTCTTACTGCTAAAGTTTGTTTTTCTTATTGTATTTGATATTCGAGAGATTTTTTGAATTGAACAAGTGTGTATATATAGTAATCGATCTCTGCTACCCAAACATATAATTGAATTAAATTAATGTTGTGTAATTTTAATATATGACTCAAAACAAAAATGTGAGACCAGACTTTTGATCCGCACTGTAGATAAATCTTAACGATCTTGTTTATTGTTATTAAGTGGACTACAATCGAGTGCTTTGTTAAGATTGAAATACATTTCATTGTTTTTTTTATGTGTGTCTTTGATTTAATTGTTTTGTTAATGTGTAAGGGCCCAATTGACTTTTTTCGAGCTGTTTTCTACATTAATCAATAGATTTTATTGAAAATCTGTTCGACAATATGACGCACACTATTCAAAAGAGTATTTTTTTTTGTCATATACTGCACGATAATTATTATGATTTCAATTGTCAAGTTATCGTGAAAACGTACATATTTTTACATATTCTTCGTTCCCTGCTGCTTTTCATAGGTAAGCACCATAGATAATAAGATTTATGTTGTTGTATTCATGATTCTCACTGTATAAAGTTTATCTTGATCAGTGGATATCTAAATAAAAACCTTGTTAACGTCTGAAAACATCGAAAAATGACTGCAATAATTCTCTTATTCAACGAGATATATTTCTTAAGCTTCGTGCATTTGTATTAGATAAGTAGTTCATTTCAAACACGTTTTCATCTTCTTTTTCCAAAATATAATTATTATCTTTGTATGCTTGCATTTTTTTTTTACTATTCATACAGTTTGTACATTTCTATGCCTTTAAATGTTTTTCTAATAGTAGATATATTTCCAAGAGTTACATCATATACGATAATAAATACTGTAAATACAGAGATCTAAGTATTAATCCTTGATTTTCGACAGAAACGATCTTCAACAGTCCGTTTGCGTCTCCCTGAACAACAGCGCTTGATTATCTAGAATAACAGATTATGTCTTAAAAAATAGACGAAAAAACATTTATCATTTTTTTATTATTTACAATAAGCATTGTGCTATTTTACAGCCATTTCTGACCGTCGGAATGATCACCCTGGATTCTAACATATGTTATCAATCGTTATTTGTATGGCTTCTAGGAATTAATTTTGTACTAATGTATATTGCATTGAATGAAAGCATATAATAGATTTTGACTCGAAAATATGATTATTCTTTCGATTTTCGTTGTATATTTTTTTTTCGTTTGCATTGTAACAGATGACACATAATAATATGGGTAACACATATTCTTTGTTTCAATAATAAAGAAAACATTTTCGATTTAATCGATTTTTAAAGAATTGAATATTTCATCAGATTATATTTTTGATCGACTTGTCCGATCAAATCGAGGTAATATTCGTGTTCGAATACATGATCTCTTTGCATTTATTCTCATCAAACTTAATTTAATCATATGTGATGTCTATAATGGTAGAAAAAAAAAAAAAGATGATTTTCTTAATTGTAATAGTCATGCAGCATTATTTATTACATTAGATAATGATACAAAATTTTTATATAATACTGGTTTTTTTTGAAGAAATTTTCTTATACATTATTTTATTAACTTCATCATCTCACTGCAAACTCATATTATTGATATTTAATCTGAAACATATCAAACTAGATTTCTAATTGATTTTCGATGATTTTAAAAAATAGATGCTCATTTATTATTCATTTACCAGATGTTGTTACACTTAATCATTATACAATAAATAATAATAGAAACTTGTAAATATTATCCAATATTAGATAATAATATTGAATTTAAAAGAAAAATTAAACTTATTGATACAAAAACTTTCAATTGATATTTATATCTATCTATTTCATCTTTGTCTTTATCTGTTATAATAAGTGTTTTCTTATAATTGTCACACAATCACTTTATCATACTAATAACCTTGATACGCCCTGTTGTGACAGTAAAAACATGCTTAAACTGTTTTGATGTTTATATTACTATTGATCGACAAATAACATGAATGGATTTATGATTAATAAAGTGTTGAAATTATCTGAAGATTTACATTCATTAATAAATACTTAATATTTCTATAAGAAAAATAAAACTCCGAGAATCATATATTTTTTCATATGTTTATATATAAATGATTGAGATTGTCGATAGTGATAAGGTTTTCTCCTTAAAGCTTTATTCAACATTATTATATCAGTAGATATATATGTATATATATATAGACAAAAAACAAAACCGCATCTGATTTTCATTTGCATTAAGAATATCATTTCAATCGAATGATGTGTTTTATGTACCATCAGTGAACTATTATATAAATAATAGAATGTTTCCAACATGGAAGAAATAGATAGATACGTCAATATTTATCAATTCTATCGAAGTATTTTACCTTATCAAGGTGACACATATGTCAATTGAAATCTAAGCTTAATGATGAATAGATAAATTTAACCTTGTCTTTTTTTATATTATTAAACATATGTTAATAATCATATGAATATTGTTTTTTTTCTAATTAAATTAAAGAAAATATTTTCAAAAATACTTATCTTTTTTTGTTAACCTCTTCTATTAAGTGTAGACATAAAAAACAAATACAAGAATCTATTATTGTGTTTTTTTTTCTTTTATTAGCTAAAGACATTTCTATTGAAAGAACTTGTTACATATTAAAAACAAGTACATATGTTTATTGACATACAATAATATACAATGCTATTGCCAATTCTTTTCTCCTTCATACATCTTCTACAATTGCGAATAATATAATCATAATAACAAAGAGTATAAGTACAACAAGATGTAAATCATATCCTATCGATCTTTTAGTTTGTTATTTTGTAATATATCCTATGTATATAGAAGTATATTAATCGAAAATAAACGTAAACATATTATATTCATATTAAAAACAAGTTCTTTTTTTTTTCTTTTGATATGAGTCGATAGATGAGAAAATGGTGAAGGAGAGAAAAAAAAAATAATGGTATTTGTTCTTGAGTATTAATTAAATATTTAGAAAAACGAAGAAAGAAAAAAAAATAATGATGTTGTTTGTTCTTAATTACTAATTAAATACTTAGAAACACGAAGAAAGAAAAAAAAACAAAGGCAGCATCGGACCTATACAAAAATAAAATACCTGGATTTGAATATCGATCTATATACATGGAGATTTATGTGGTTTGCGGTTGGTTGAATCTTTCTTTGCTTAACCGCATTCTTAATCATAACTTAACTCGTAGATGTAGTAAATTGTTCATGCATTCATTACTATAAAATTAGATAGTATCGAAATATAGTCGTAGGTTTTTTTTGTTTTTTTAGTACGTTTTATTCAATTATAAAAGCTTTTTGATATCCGCCTTTTCAATTATATTTCATACAATCGGGTGTCGTTCTCCTTCTATTGACATATTTTTCTTTACAATAAGATTAATCTCAGAGTTGTCTTGTGCGATAAGACATGATTCAAACTTATACACAGCTTTGTCGAGAGTACATATACGCGAAAAAAACGATCACTAGCGACAGCAACTTTTTTTTGTATTCTCTCTCTCTCTCTCTCTCTCTCTTCCTTCGCTCGATCTTTGTAGGTATTTGTTTCTTTTTTTTTTTATTTTCTAGTTTTCTCTCGTTGCCTCTCGCTCGTACAAATTGATTTGTTTTTCCTTGTTTCTCTCTTTCATATAACAGTGTTGGTAACGGTGACTATCAGTATTCTTCAATCCTGATATTGGACATTATTTATTTTTTTTAAATCTCTAGTTCAATAATGATAAGATTATTTTTATTCATAAATATTCTTATATCATTATTAAATATAATTAATTGTCTCTATGCTGAATGGGAAGAAATAAAACCATATTGTGCTATACGTCCACAACCACAATGTTGTGCTAGTCGAGATGATAATTGTTTTATGCCATATTATGATTCTCGATGTTATTGCGATTCATTTTGTTTTCGTGGTATTGATAATCATGATTGTTGTCCTGATCATGATTCTGTATGTGAAGGTAAAACTACTTCATTACCAACAACAACACCATCAAGACAAATTCATGGTTGTATTGATACAAAAACTGGTCGAAAATATTCATTAGGTGAAACATTTTTACAAGATTGTAATTTATGTCGATGTATAACACTTGGTTATCAATCAACATTATCATGTGAAGAAGATCTTTGTGTTAATAGTCCAGAAATTTTATCATATATTAATAATCAACAACCATATATTGGTTGGAAAGCAACAACATATGATAAATTTAATGGTATTAAAGTTAAAGATGCATTAAAAAATTATCTTGGTACATTACCTGATCGAAGTTTACGTACAATGGTTGATAATGCACCACAAGATATGGGTGATTATCAACGTATGGATACTATTGATTCATTTGATGCTCGTACAAAACCAACATTTATTGGTAAAATTCGTGGTATACGTGATCAAGGTAAATGTGGTATATCATGGGCATTATCAACTGTTGATGTTGCTGCCGATCGTTTATCACTTGTACAAAATATAACATTACCAAAAGAATTTTTAAGTGTACAAAATATACTTTCATGTACAGATAAAGATGCAAAAGAAAATTGTCAAGGTGGTCGTGTTGCATATGCATGGGGTTTTATAAAAGATCGTGGTGTTGTTACAGAAAATTGTTATCCATATGAAAGTGGTCAAACAGGTAATATAACTGAATGTAAACTTCATTTATCTGATAATGATTTACGTATGATTGGTCAACATCGAAAATTAAAAAATATTAAATGTCCATCAAATATTAATAATGGTGAACATTATAATTTTGGTCCTGCTTATCGTGTACGTGATGATGTAAATTCAATTAAATATGAAATACAATATCGTGGTCCTGTACAAGCAACAATACATGTTACACCAGAATTTTTCTTATATAAAACTGGTGTTTATCGTTGTGGTGGTTCAAGTTATCATAATCAAAATCCTCGTTATGCTAATTTAGATGCTTATCATTCAATTCGTTTACTTGGTTGGGGTATAAAAACTGATCCAAATACACAAAAACAAGAAAATTATTGGATTGCAGCTAATTCATGGGGTACTGGATGGGGTGAAAATGGATATTTTCATATTCGTTTTGGTGAATGTGAAGTTGAAGATACAGTTATTGCAACATATGGTAAATCAACAGATGTATTAAAGAAAAAGATCAGACATCAATAAAATTTTAAAAATATATATGTGTGTGTTGTGTATCCCAGATTTTCTTTAATCTCTTCTTTCCTATTAGTTTTTGATATAAATAGAATTCATTGTCTTTATCTCTTTTGGTATGATATATATATTTATCAATCATGACGTCGATGAATGAGTAGGATGAGAAATGCAAGTGATCAAGTTTCTTTCTTTCTTTTTCTTTTTTTTTTATGTATGTATGTATTTAGTAAGATCAAAATAATAATGTCAAAGAAACTTGGTGTTGTTATTTGGTATGTCTATATATCCTGTCCTTTTTTTTTCTTCTCTTTTCTATGGATGAGTTTTTTTTTTTTTTTTTTATATTGATTCGATCGACCTTGCTAGATTTACAATTCATTCTTTATATTAATCTTGCGTCGCTTATTTAACACGCATAAAACAGATTGACGAATCTTTTTTTCTTCCTTAATAGCATCATCAATGACAAATTAACTGATTGATATGAGACAAAATGAATTATACAGAGAGAAAAAAAAGTGACTTGTGTACGAGTTTGATTACAAAATAAGATTATATATCTTGAGAACTTCATTACTATTCAAGGTAAACACAAACTTAATTTCTCTGTGATTCTTATGTATACATATAGAGATATTCTTATAACAAATGAAAAACAAAACCATTGATTCAATTTTGTCAAATGAGAACGAAATGAGTCAAGGTTTTTTTTTTTATTGAACTAAGAAACCAAAAAAAAAAAAAGGTAATTTTATACGATGAAAAACTAACCGACGACAGATCTATTTTTACTTCCATATTCAAATATAAGTAAGAAAAAAAGAAAAGCAATGCAAAAATCAATAAATCAATAAAGTATGTTTTATTGATATTTAGACAAATAATAGCATTCAGTATTTTTTATTAATTGTTGATAATCATCAAATTTTAGAAAATCTAAAAAGATTAAATGAGAGAAATTCAAATTATTTTTATTTTTTTTTATTATATTTTTCAAACAGAATATTTATGTAATTAATTAGTCTGTTCTAACCAACTTGAGCCCATGATGGTTGTTTATTATTCATATAAATTGCTCGTTTTCCAACAGTTGCCCAACTTGGTCTTTTAAAACGTTTCCGATTTCCTTCTGAATTTTTGATTTGTCGAAATAATGGATGTAATGATGATAAATCTGTTGATATTTCTGATTGTGATGGAACTGTTAGTTGATCAAAATAATCTTCAAGAGTTTCATCATCAACTAACTGATTCATTTTTGAATCTATATTAATATTTGCAGGATTATTTGATAATGATTCTTTTGTAATTATTTCACATGGACATGGATTAGCCATTGTCATGGTTAATATAGTAAATATGAATGGTAAGAATATTAGCGATATATGAAACATAATTGTTTTGATTTGTAAAGAAAATAAGAATGAGAATCGATCTGAACTCTATATAAATATTCCAATAAATGATAGACAATCTATACGATGTAAGAAGAAAAGAAAAAGAATAACCTATAAATAAATCTGAATAGGCGGACAGCTCATCTGTTCAATACATCGTAAAAGTATTGATTATGAAGTTATTCGGTTATTTATTTCTTTCGAATTGATTGTCATTGTTGAATACTTCAGAAGATTGACTCAATTAATTTTATCGAGAAAATATATTAAATAAAACGACACTTGTGATAAATACCATATACTTCATCTTGTTTTTTTCAAATATAATGACGTTTCTTCAGGCCCTAGTTTATCATTAGAATAATTATCATTCTTCTTATAAGATGATTTTATTTGAAAAATATATAGTAATATATTGAAAACGTCATTTGTTATGTTACTAAAAGTTCATTTAGTTCTAATCGTATATAATAATAAGAAAAATAATACAATTGATATTCGACAACTTAAGAGAAATGTTAATTATATATAAATTAAATGATAAAAATTTTGTCAATATCTAATAATAATTCTAAATTGAACATTAAAATAAATAAAGAAATTCTAATTGAAATTTTTGTTGCATACGAATATAATGCTGCAAGTAAATGTGTTTAGTGTTATGACAAGAGCTATTAAACAAACCATACATAGAATACTTTATACATCTTTGCACTTTAGTGTTTTTGAAATACAAAAAAAAATTCAATATGCTTCTTCTCATTGAAATTCACAGAACCATGTCCGTAGAAAACTATGGTATTGAAAATTCATGACAAAAATATGCAGGATTCCATAAGTGAAGACGGACGACATGACTAGTCCGAAGTGTTCGCAATATTCGTCACGACTAGTTATCTTGACAAGAAATATCCTGCAACCAAGTCTGAACTAGTTTAAAACGTCCTTGAATTCCATAATATCTAGTCCGTTTGTCTATCTACCTTGTCCAGACTAGTCTGCAGAACAGAAAGAGAATAAGCAAGGAAGACAAAAGATGAACTCAATCATTCGAACTGACAATATTCCATACTTGACGGCAGATCATGACTTGTCGATGCACTGACATTAGTTCAAACAGTCCAAATAGCAAAAAGACACTCTTCCATATGCTAGACAATTAAAACTGGTAAAAGACAAATGACTTTCCTAGTTTGAAGCGTCATCTGTATCCGTCATGACTAATCTATCTTTTAGAATATATTATGATATTTCTTAGAAATTCATTTTTCTCATACGAAATTGTCCAACCAACTGGTTAGATTCACCAATAAAGAAAAAAAGCACAACGTAATATAAGGGCAATTTTTCAATATCTATATTGTTTGTTGATAATAAATGATGAATAATCATATACATTTCGAACATGGATGAGATAATAGAATAAATATAATTTCACTAACGAGAGAGGGTCCTCAGATGTTCAAGCCGTTTAGACTCCATTTTTTGACCATAAGTAGACCTCAATGATGTATGCATGAGCTGAAAAGGATCCATTTCTTCGCGCCTTTGTTCCTGAGATATTGAATTTTCAAGATATGGTATAAGGAAACGAGAATAAAACGATCAATGGCTCTTTTTGAGAAAAGTGAAACATTAAAGACTGAAGCTTTTTTCCAGTCTTATACGTTCTTTGTTTGAACTGTTTTGATTTGAGAGTTAGATATAATCTTATCCATAACGATTCTATTCATTGTTCATGAGTCCAAAGAGTACACAAAATTCTCATCTTGTTTTTGATATCATTTTAAAACACAATGATCCCTGATGGATGAGCGAGAATGATACATTATCCGCACTGTTACTTATCTCTTTCGTTGTCCGCATATCATCTTGTTCCTGTAATGAATGTTATGCGTTTACACTCTTTCTTCCATATTCTACTAGCTACATTCTCATCCTATTCTCTTTTGTGCGTGTTTTGCGCCATAGAGTCGTTCTTCTTTCATTTTATCTATGATCAACTTCTCTCACCAATCTATCTCCGCTTGAGATGTGTGTTGCTCCGTCCTGTTGCACAGTACCTTTCGTCTGCTGCAGCTGATGCCGTAAACCAATGTGTTTCATACATTTTTTCTTGAACTATCACCTTCACTAATTTTCGGTAGACAGATTGTTGTATTTTAAAATGATATCAAAAACAAGATGAGAATTTTGTGTACTCTTTGGACTCATGAACAATGAATAGAATCGTTATGGATAAGATTATATCTAGCTCTCAAATTAAAACAGTTCGAACAAAGAACGTATAAGACTGGAAAAAAGCTTCAGTCTTTAATGTTTCACTTTTCTCAAAAAGAGCCATTGATTATTTTATTCTCGTTTTCTTATACCATATCTTGAAAGTTCAATATCTCAGGAACAAAGGTGCGAGGGAATGAATCCTTTTCAGCCCTTTCATACATCATTGAGGTCTACTTATGGCCAAAAAATGGAGTCTAAACGGCTTGAACACCTGAGAACCTTCTCTCGTAAGTATGTTCTACTAAAAGTTGATCAGCATTATAGATGTATGTGTTACAACAGACGTTTTACAAATTGTTTCAAGCTTTAATATTCACATCTCTGGAAGTCTTATACTCAAACTTTGTTTTACAAATGCATTTCGAAAAAATCATGTTAAATAATATAACTAAACAATTATATTGCAAAATAAAATGAAATCTTTATATTTTATATTGACGAACGAAAACATTTGTTCAATCGTGATAGAAGAAGGTACATCTGCGTTTTCCGTTTTAAGTACGAGTTATGAGTGTGTCATAACTTTATCCTATAACATCATGCGAAAACACATTTTTTCTTTCATAGTTAGTAATTAAGGACACTCTACTATGTTGCGATTACAAAAATTATTGATACATTTTTTTTACAGTGTTAAATTTTCTATCAATGAGATAAAATGTATTATCTAAATCCTATTAAAATTAAAAAACAAATCAGTGCAAAGAGTTTCTCGTAGAAGAACAGCATATCGAAGAAGAGAACTATCTTGACATGAATTTTTCTAATAGAGACAATATTGATTGAGATGGAAATGAATAATGAGACGAACTTAGATTCACATTTGAATCAACAATATCCAAACAAGCACATAAAAGATCATCTAATTCGTGTTGAAATCATATCCAACGAGATGTTAAACTAAAAAATACATTTATATATCAATATTGAATGTCATTCTTCCTAAAAAAAGAAATCAAGAAAATTATTAAAATACACTTTTGTTGTTCATTCGATTTAAACCATGTCCAAACTTTTGTACTTGATGGTACATCAACAATCGGCATACTCCATCGATCATATTGCACGTAAATCTTATGTTAATAAAATATGAAATTTATTAATATCATTTGAACGAATGATATTAGCAACTACTTTTCAGAATGAATCATAATGATAAACTACATAAATAAAAACAATGAAATAAAATTTTCTTCATGAAAAATTTACTACTACTCTATTTGAATAGATCAAATGAAACAAGAATAGCCAACAAAAGATTAGAATATGTATGACTAGTTGATAAAGGATCAATATCTAATTCTTCTCTATATGTATCTTCTTTTAGTTATTACTTCATAAAGAATTGAGGTACGAATTGAAATGTGTATTCTTACTTAATCATAATTTAACCATTTTCTTCCTCTTTTCTTTTATCGATAAACTATAGGAAATGACTTAGAAAGAAATAAACTTCCAATCTTTTACCTTTTCAACATTGTGAATTCTTTTGTTATATTGTTCATTGATTTTATCTTCAATAAAAACAAAAAAAAATATTCAGAATCATTGCACATTGAAAAAAAGAAGTATCAATGGTCACTGTTGAGATATTCAAATATCTCAACCGTTATCGTCTTTCAATCAAGACATTTCAGATAAACCGAAGATAATCAATCTTGAGCAGAATCAATTGATTATTATAATAAGAATTCGAAAAACTGATATTATAAGTTTATGTTTTTTTCCGATCATATTAAATATATGTTTTGCTATATTCATATATATTAATATTCTTAAAGTTTACAATGTAAACTTCAAACTACTTCAAAGTTTATTTTAGTTTTTTAACGGGTTGAGCTTCTCCAGGATTCTTTTCATGATCCCTTGCCGCAAGGCAACGTGAGTGCGTGATGATTCACTCCGTTTCCTTACAATTCATTTATTCTGTCTTATCAAAACTTGCTCGATCACTTTATTCAATTCCAGTAACTGTAGCTAATGTTGAACGTCAGTTTAGTATTGATGGTTAACTTCAGACGTACTCGATTGAATTCACAACAAGTAAACAAAGCATTGTTTATACGTTCGATAAAAATAAATAAATAAGAAAAGGTTGGGTGAAACGGTTTTTAACTGCTTCGTGTATCTCTCTTATAGACCACTCTGTATATTAGTCAAAGAATTTGTACTTCTACAGTGTCATTATCAATGTTTCATAAGTTTTCTTGTCAGTTATACTTTATTAAAACGGTTAAAATAAATAATAAAAAAAAATCAATGGTTAGTCACTATAATAAGTCTGTTCCTTGGTGAAAATCTTTGCTTTTACAAGGATAATTTCTTCATACATTCTTCAGCCAATTCATTTGGCATTGTCACTTTAAGTTTTGATTCATTAGCCATAGCTCGTTCTACTGTTTGACGAGCATTTTTATTGCCTGACCATGATCGACGACTAACACCATTTATTACATCCCAATATAACATTTGTCGAATATTATCATCAGCTTTTACACTTCCATCAAGAAACATACCAAAACCACCTAAACAAAAATTCTTAAAAAAAATAAATCAATAAATAAAATTTTTTTTTACCATTCATAACTTCACCAAAACCTACACCACCACCATTATGTAATGCAACCCATGTTGCACCACGAAAAGAATCACCAATGACATTTTGTACAGACATATCTACGAGAAAATTGAAACATGAAAAAAAAAACAACAAACAAGAATTCTTTTTTAAAATACAAACCTGCACAAAATGCAGATCCATCTTCAATATTTGCTGTTTCACGAAAAGGTGAATCTGTACCCGATACATCATGATGATCTCTTGATAAAATAATTGGTCCTTTTAATCGACCTGTTCGTACAGCTTGATTAAATGCTAATCCAATATTAATTCTACCCATTTGATCAGAATATAAAATTCGTGCTTGAGAACCAACAACTAATTTTGCATCTTCAGCTTCTTGTATCCATTTTAAATTATTATTATATTGTTCAAGAACATTATCCGGTACTATTCATTGAAAATTTACAAAGCAGAAAAATATTATATTTATTACATACTATCTTTATTTGACATAAGATCTTTAATAACATGTTGAGCAATTTTATCCGTCTCTTGTAAATCACTTTCTAAACCAGATGCACATACCCATCTAAAAACATAAGATAAATATAGAAAAATCATAAGTTAATATAAACCTAAATGGTCCAAAACCAAGTGAAAATATATCTCCCATAATATCTTGAACATATGATGGATATTTAAAACGAATACAGCCACTTCCTTCATCACCACCAATGGGAGCACCTTGAAAAAAAATTTTAATAAATAAAAAACAAAAGAAATTTATAATATCGAATTATACCTGCTTGTTTAGCTGTAAGTAAAAATGCATTACCATAATCAAAAAAATACATTCCACGTTCATATAATTTATCAATAGCAGCGATTTGTCGTCTAATACTAAAAGAGAAATATAAAATAAGGTAAATTATATAAAATTCATATCAACTAAATTAAATAACCTTTCATGAACAAGTTCTTTAAATTTTTTTGGATCATTTTTCATACATTGTCGACCTTCATCATATGACAACTAATAATATGAATAATGATATCAAATAAGAAAATTAAACTGAATGTTTTTTTTTTGTTGAAATTTACTTGAACTGGATAATATCCACCTTGATATGGATTATGACATGATGTTTGATCACTACCAAGATCTACTAATATTTCTTTTTCATTTGCTAAACGTTCCCTATAAGAAAATCATCTACTATAAATAAATTGATCAAAAAATAAAACTACTAACCAAACATCAACAACATTACCAACATAACCAACTGATGTTGCTAATTTTTTTTCTCGACATTCCCGAATACGATTAATTAATTGATTTAAATCATAGATTAATTCTTGACACCAACCTTGATCATATCGTTTTTTTGCAGCTTCTTCACTTACTTCAGCAATAACACCAATACAACCAAGAAGTTGACATGCTTTTGGTTGGGCACCAGACATTCCACCCAAACCTAATAATTTATCAAATTTTATTCAACATAAAAAAAAAACTTTAGATTAATTTATATTACCTGATGAAACAAATACTTTTCCACAAAGATCATTTTTACCAAATTTTTTTCGAGCTGCATTTGTAATTGTAATCTATAATGAAAAGATAAGTTTTCATTGAAACATTAGACATTAATTCTTAAGATTATAAATCGAAATGGTAATTGTATTGTTGTTAAAAGACTATGAGTATCTAAAAAAGTTTATTCATTGTTATTAGCTATCCTATTCACCTCGGAACAACATTGTCTGTCTAAAGTCATCACGAAGCTGTAAAAAATTAGTAAAATGTCAGACATTTTTTGCAATAACTGCTCCTCCTCCACCCTAATCGATATTTCCTAATTGCTATTGCAAAAGATGAATAGTTTTAGAGCTGAAATAGTAATAAAATTTTCGTATAACATATGTTAAATGAACACTACTAATCTTGACGATCATGACTATTGAATTCTTATTTTCCTGAAGTTATCTATCTCTGATTATGTAAAATCTACTGAAGAACCAAAAAATATATATATAATCAAAAGACAACTATATTACACCAGTAAATCATTTAAAGAATGAAAATATCTTAAAAATGTATAATTGAATTTTTTCAAAACAACTATTTTGATTAAATTAATCTGATCCGATCTTTAATTAATCAATATTAGTTATTTCTCCCACACCCTTTCATTTTTTTTCTACATACAAATGTTCCATGAACAATACCCTGCGGGCCAATATAACAATAAGATCCAGCTGTCATTTGACCATACCTATATATTTTATTTTCTCTAAATATAATCAATTCTTCAAAACTTACATTGTACAACCAAGTGCAAACAGTCGATCATATTCATTCATTGATGAATAATTTGGAACCACCTTTAAAAAAAATAAAACGATCATTTAGACTATATCTCTAATTCATATAACGTACCAAACCATTAGTAATAACTACACGTGGTGAACAATCAATTCTAGTTGGAAATAAACCCAATGGATGTCCTGAATACATAATAAGAACTTGTTCATCAGTCATAATACTCAAATAATGCATAACCAACAAAAACTAAAATATTTCAAAGTTCTTTTTTTTTTCTTATCAAATGTCAAATTTAATTCGAACTATTTACTTGAGCCCAATTAGAAAATACTTGACCATTTCCACCATATATAACTAATTCATCAGGAAATTGTGCAACTCTTTTATCCAAATTATTCATTATCATTAACATAATACCTGCAGCTGCTTTACATTTACATGGATATTCATCAATTGGATATGCACGCATTTCAATATCAGGTTGAAATCGATACATATATATATGTCCATAAGTATCTAATTCATAGATAAATTCATCAATTAATTGTGGTTGAATATTTGAAGGAAAATAACGAAGTGCATTTTTAATTGCTAACTAGAATTTTAATAATTTGTTTTTTGTAGAAAGAAATTTAGAAAACAAAAAATTGATGAATAACCTTTCGTTCTTTATCTGTTAATGATGATTTTCTATCAGGTGCATGTGGTACATTTGTATTTCGAGTCTTTTTTGATGATGGTAAAGGATTTAATGGTAATCCTGAACAGATTTTATTAAGAATTTCGTTTGACATCTAAAACACAAAAGAGAGAAATTCTATTGTCAATTAATATATTTAATTTGTATTTATTTTTCATTTGATTTCAAAAAATGTAAAAATATTTAATAATACATTTTTCAATAAGAATTTTTACTTACTCAAAAAAAGGATAGTTTTCTTTTCCTATAAGTTTTTATTTATATTGCTGACATTATCTTTTAATTCTCAGTTCTAGTAAATTCAGTCGAATCGAGATTAATTATTGATTTCATATTTGATCAATTCATATGTTCAATATTTTGTTGTTTTGCTTATCATTTAAACAACTTCGTAAATAGCTCATACCTGAATGCACATATCAAAAATGTAAGTACAACAATCTGATAATTAACTATTTGATTGGTTTGAATTATTGAAGCAAAAATCGTATAGAAGATGCATTCAAGCATAGCAATATATATGAATGATAAAAAGTGAATCTCAATATATACTAGGTATATATTCAAAAATTGCGATCGAGGATATAATACAAATACGTAAGCCGTACAGTACGTTTATCGATTCGTATAGAAATTATGAATCCTTATTTTACCATCATCCAATCATTTTCTTTCTTTCTGATAAGCAAAAACGAAGAACCTAACGCTGTTACAATTTAGAAAAAGTGCTTATTGACTGAAATAAAACAGATGTATCACGATGGTACTCTACAAAGCAGAATAAACACTTTGCTTATTTGCATGGGTCTATTTTATCTCTTCTCCCCGAATAGAAGACATTCCAGCAGCATAATTTCTGTCGCTTGAATTTAAATTTTTTTCAAAGGCATGATATATGAAAGCTTGAATATTAAATCATCTGATGGTGTATTACGAGTTTCAAATTAGTTTAATAATTTTTATCGAAAAAAAAAAAAATTGAAGAAAAAATCAATTTTTTTTCATTACATTGCGTTCACTGGTTATTGTGTTCTGACCTTCATATTTATGTAAAAACTTGCCTGAAATTTAAACAATTATTCTATTCTTGAAAAAAATTATAGACGTAACAATCAGCTGGGAATATGAAAATATTGTTCTTCAGATTCTGTAACTATTTAATGTTAGCAGCTAGTTGATTCTCTTCTCTTTGATTGTGAAGTAGTAGGTAACATTTGGTTTTTTTCTCAGATATTTTGATTTTAAATATTATTAAAAAGAAAACAAAAACAATCTGCCCATGTCTTCGATAAGGATCGAGCTGCTTAGCAGTTACGTGTAGTTATACAAAAAAAGAGACTACATGGATACGAATGTTGAATGGCAAGCTCACTTTTATTAATAACAAACAGCAAAGATTATTAGCTATTGCTTTTTATTCTGTTAAATGTTGATTAATCGGACTTCAATTTTTTTGATCCAAGTCGTTATAAGTATCATATAGTCAGTCTTCGAGAGATGGAAGTCAATTTATGATTACACTATTGATCCTTTTGTTGAATATGTATGACGGAAAATGTATTCATCAGAATAACAACAAACAAAAGCATGGAACTATAGTCATAGTGCTAACGACTATTATGAATTTCATATGTGACAAATCTCATACATATGACAACGATGATAACGAAGTATTCCAACCTGAATTAGAGAAATGAAATCGACTGTTGCATGATAGAGTATCGATGTGAATCTTCTTTTCATCTTACACCCACAAAAAGAAATTAAATGTATAGAATGTGAAGGCCTACAGAGAAGCATCTTACTCCTGATTAACAAAACAAAAAGCATCAAGTTCAATAAAAGTAAACTTGATTATAAAATGTAAAAGATGAATATTATTTATAATTAATATAGTTCTAAATTGCATTCGTACGATATTAAATCATCCTTTATTGTTGTAATTTTCTTGACTGTTAATAAACTAAAATAATTTAATAAGACTTCATCTTCACTTGTAAATTATGATTCTGCACATATACTTTTTGGTTTATTTGATTTTGTACAATCAGCAGAGATATCTAATAGAATGCCTTTTTCACCAGCAAAAACTCTTGCTGCATCTTTATTTAAACTTGTTGATAAAAAAGCTGGAAAAATAATTGTATCATTAACATTGAATTTTCTCAAAAATTCTTCAAAACTATTTGCTGTTCCCAGGTATAGACCTCTATATAATTTAACATTTTTTGTATATGGTATTCTATTAGATGTATCTGAATATATCAATAAAGCATATCGTAATGCTTTAATATAATCTTGAATTAATAAAATTAATTCTTCATCTAATAAATTAAGAATATCATTAATTATTTGATAATAAAAAGATGCTGCAGCTGTATATAGACGTATGATATTCTTTGCTGGTTCAGACTTTTTTAAAGCATCCACAAATCTTTCAGCACATATCATGAGATTTTCAAGTTGAAAATGATTTGGAATACAATTTGAATAAATATTTTTTGATTTCAATAAACTATGTAATTCTGTCATGATTTTTTTATGATAATCGATATTTAAATTAATATCAGAAAAATTTTGAATTATAAACCATTCTATTTTGTTGATAGATAATAATTAGAATTTTTTAATTTTAATGTAATAGCTTCAAATGAAAAACCAAAATTTAAAAAATAAATTTCACCACATTCGATATCTTTTATTTTTTCAATAACATGAGAAAATTGATTTGTAACAAGTAAAACTTTTTTATATTGCTTTGCCCATATTCGATGATATTCAATTGAAGAACAAAATATAATTATACCTTTAATATGAAAATAATATCCTTTTTCAGAAATAATTTCTTTTTCAGCTGATCCTGATGTAATTAAGATTAAATTATTTTGAATATTAGATTTAATTAATTCAATCGATTGTTCTTTATTATCACACGATAAAATTCGATATTGTTCTGTTGAAAATTCTTCTTTTAATTTTTTAATATAATTTTGATCTTCATCATTTTGAATTTTTCTATCATACCAAATAATATTTATCATTGAAGTTTGGCTATGAGTAGAATAATGATGTAATTTCTTTGCAAAATCATCAAAATATTCATTAAGATTTTTTATTTTCAACATTTTTAATATTGTCTCTTAATTTTTCATCTAATTATACATAGTTTTTTTCGAAATATGACTTCACTCGCCATGCCACTACCGATAGTTCCTATTCCAAATGACAAAATACCTAATGCTGATGTACCAGCAAATAAACTGATAATTAAACCTATAATACTGAACATGCCAAGACCCGAGAAAATTGATACCAATAAGGTTTGTGAGGCCATATTTTCAACTAGTTGATCAATCTGATGAATCAACTGATTTAGATGATCTTTTATTTCACGTGTATTGATTGTTGCTTCAAGTTGCTCGAGTGCATTTGTAAGTATTTCTTTTGCACGTTCTTTCTGTACTGCAATTTCATGCAAGATATTACGAATTGTTGAATCATATCATTCTTGAATTCCAGTTATCTTTACTTTAAGACCGCGGATTTGAATTAGATTAAAATTATACCATGAATGTATTCTTTGCAGATCGTTAACTTCATAAAGTGTTTCATTTAGACCTTCGATCGATTTATTAAAGAGAGTTTTCAACAAAGTTTCAGTATGGCAAATCAGCGAGGAATTGAATTAAGCCAACCAATCGAACTGCTCGATATCCAATTATGGCTTTGACTTCGTTGAATGACTGACACATGATCTCTTTAACATGTGGTATTGTCTCAAAATCTTGAGTAAAGGTGCTCGATGCGATAATTGAAAGAGTCAAAGCACTAAATTCAGTTTCAACATCAATTCGATCTGATAATGATGATATACGTAGAATAGAATCGATTGCTTTTACAGTTTCATTCACCATACTCGGTATCATAGATCAAAGATTCACAAGATGAAAAGTTGGATTTTGAGCATTTCTCATGCACGATAATGCTCTTCACTTTCACTAACGAGAAGATTATTAACACCTACAAGAGTTTTGACTATAAGTGTTAAATCATGTGGTTTTCAATAATTCTCAGATTTAAAACGGCCTAAGAAATCAGCTATCAATTCAGACTCAAGTAGAACCAAAAGTATTAACGGCTCGACACTAAATATATAGCAATATCCGTGTTTGTGTGTAAGATCATCGAAATAGCCAACTCCTTTGCCCATTTTACTAGCGTGAAGCATGTTAGACAGCTGACCGATAAGCGGAATAAATAAGTTGCCAAGAATATCTTAAGCTTGAAAAACAATCGTACACACATTTTTGAGGACGAACAAGTGTAATATAAATCAATGCAACACAAATCAAGAGAAATCGAACGATGATGTAGACAACGAGAAGGAATACTATCTCTTTGATGTCAGTGTCTAAATCACAAGTGACATATGTGGTATAATTCCGAGGTTTTTCTAGTAGAAGAACCATTGATAGAGAGCTTTGTATTCTGCCTAAAAAAACAGATTTCTATCGCTTCAGAGAAATAAGATCACTTGAATCAGAAAATAAAAAAACCCTGTCACTTGCTAATTTCTCCAACCAACAAACTTGTATTTCTTCTACCAGTCGATTAAAACTCGAGATTCAAGTATGGCATACGAAATGCTTAAAAAAAACCAAGACAATATGGAAAATAATGTCCATTCAATTAACAAGGGAAGCTTGCGCTGTGCTAATCCGTTCCTTTGTAGTTGAAACTTTGAAGTAGCATTTTTATGTGCTTCGAGTTTCGTCATATTGCGCTGCGCAAAGAAGTGTTGCCTCATTGTTTTTATTTATGCATTACATAGAAGCAAAAACGAAAATGTTAATAGACAAGAACGGAAAGAACATAAAGCACTGCTGGTATATTTTCTATAAATGTGCTAACTAGGCACTGTCGTGTTTTTTCATCTATGGGACTATATTCTAAAAAACATGAAAAAAAAAAAGATCGATGCGCTCATTCATCTTGTAAAATATTGCAACAGTAATGTAACAGGCTGCAGCCGAAATAAAACAACTGTTGGATCGAAATAGCATTTTGAAATAATATCAACAGGAACAAATAGATAATAATTACTCAGTTTACATTGAATGGTATACGATGGATTTGAATAGAAAATGAAAGTGATATATAGCATGCTGTTATGGAATAGCATACACGATGTCGACATATGAACAAAACAAGAAAAAAGAAGGAATTCTGTCATCCAATGAGTATCAATACTCACATGGAACTTCGTCACAGATGTGTCCTTAGGTGAAAAACTCTTTGTAGACAGAAGAATAACTGCTTTTTTATTTCGAACTTATTAGTTCTATAGAAGTATTTCATAATGTTCTCAAGTAAATCCAGCAAAAATTAGAACCATTTCAAGTCATACAGACATTGAGAGAAATCTTCTTTTGAGGACGTCTAAACTGACAAACCATTCTAATGCCTTATTCTGTAGATATGTTGAATTTTCTGAGACGATTTCTATGCGTAAACAATCATTCCACATTCACTTGAAATGAGCAGAGATGTGTATCTTCTTTAGGTTACGAGTTCTCAAGCTACTTTCTAACCTCAACCGAGAATTTCTTCTTACAAAAAAGTGCATTCTTCTATTCATTTTGATAGATTTGGAGCCCTCTGTCTTGCTGTAGGTTCATATCAATTTCTTTCAATTTGATACACTTATTACTTGAATGTTGTTATGTATGGCTGTGATTGTCGATGTGAGTATGAGTGTTGATCCGCTTCAGCAACACTCGCACCTCCCTACAAAAGAAACTTTTTCATTATAAAATATATACTTTAGCTTTTTATGTTGATACTATAAGATTTGGACAATTTAGTTTCTTATCAGTCTTCAAACAGATAAGTAATGGAGCTCAAATTTCACTGTATAATTCAAAAAGTTTTATATGATTCAGATGAAGTCTATATAATTGCAACATCTATTCGAAAAAATTACACAGCACAGATTCTTAACTAAACTGCATGTGCCATTAAAGTCTATTCATTACACAATGTCATGTGTTCTATAATCCCATTATTTTTTCTCGCTCTCAAAAAGTAAACACTGATTCGCTTCTTTTCTTCATTTGAAAAAAAGCAACAATACACACAGTTGAAGACAAAGGATGCCCACTGTTACTGAGCATGGGTTTTTGCAGCTGCCTCGTTTTCGACCAGAAATAGATGTGAGTAAAGACGTAGTAGTTATATGAAATTCTTGAGAAGACACAGACAAATGTCTGCAAAATATTGTTGTTCGATCAAGCTTACATTTTGATATTTCGTTTCTTAGGATCAACCGCCATCTGTAATCAAAGTTATTGATGTAAACACATTACCCGGTGTTTCAAGCGCGTAAGTAAAATAGTTGCTTCACAACTACAGTCGTCAATACTATTCATTGATTTGTAACTTAGACCGACGTCCTTTCTGGCGTCTACAATTGGAAAAGTTATAGTCATTGCCATAATATTAACAGTGATCATTACGGTTGTCGTTGTTGTGGTTGTGATAATAAAAACATCAACATCTACGTCAACTACTGCCAGTAAGATTAGCGGAACCTATGAAATATGATGTGTGAATGTTTTCTCCCGAGCCACATCTACATCCTCTTTTTAAACAAATTATTTTAACCTCCCTGTCAATATATCATAAGTTTTTAACAGTCAGAGTTTGTGAATTCCACACATTGGTTCCTTATGTGATCGCACTAACCAGTTTTCTATTAGAAGAAATCTAAAGTCAGTGTTATTTGATGATTCACTTTTTGCATATTAGCTATCATATCATAGAATGAATGGATTATGATGGTGTGCGGTGAGTTTAAATTTTTTAACCTTGATTCATATAATCGATACCTTTTGTTTTTTCTTACTGAATGAGTTGACTGCAGCTTGCGAAAAGTTAGGCTCCTTTTTCATATTCGCGAACTTCACTTGCAATCAAATTCCGTTCTGTATGTACGTATGTGCATCACATCCAGATTCAGCTCACTTTTGTATCAGAAGAACCGAGAGAAGTTTGAGCTAAGTACTTTTCAAAAGTCACCTAATCCTTACAATAAGTGAGATCTAGGTAACAAAATGGGTACGAAAGTTTAATAATTATCATATAGTTGCACAATGGTGATCACTTGTAGCTTAACATACCTATACAAGTGAACATTACGTTAGATGTAAATTTAAACCAATTTAAATCAAATTTGAAAAACACTTGGAATGACTTTTTTGAATGCCCTTATAAAACGAAAACCTTAACATCACAGAAACTAAGCATTATAAGTATTCTATGAAAAAGAAAGTCTAACTTTGATTGATGCTTTCTGTCTTTTCGAGAAAAATCTGTAAAAGTCTTTTATTATAAGTCTCTATAATTCAGAGAGTTTTAGCTCGACACTTATCTACTGCATTTAAATAGTCCTGTGAATGTATTTATTAGTTGAATTGTCCTGCTTTGTTTCATTTTTAATAAATTACAATGGTTTTAGATTGTGGCTATTGAAATTGATCGACGAGCTAATTGTTTTCTTTAGCATTGAGTGGACATGATTAGTAGTGGATGTGTTTTTCAGTGAATATGACTAACAGCCTTGATGTTTCTCTTCATTTTCTATGACTTTTCTTCAAATATTGTAGTGCTCCTAGATGATTCGATTGACTGAAAACGTCCGGAATAGGACGGTTTTAGTCCCAAATACTGCTTCCATGTTTCATTACTTTTTGCGGTAGTCTTCTATCAGATTTGGAAGATCAAACCGTCAACCTGAGTTTGAAACGTTTCTGATCTCGCACAGTTACATCTAGACTATCAACTGATAAAATAGAATGACAATTATCTATTTAAAAGAAAAATGTAGTGTATCAAGGGTAGATTGTATACTGAACTAAAAAGGTATTTTGTTGAACAAAATATTGTGAAACAGATGATAGTTTGTTTGTTTAATTTTTTCTCTATTTTACAGTTGCTATCACTACCAATGCTACTGCGACTACCACTACTACCGGATGCCCAACAGGCTATACTGGAGTACTTTGTTCAACACCCTTGTGCAACGGAGTTGTAAATGGATGTTACAATGGTGGCACTTGTACCGGTAGGCCAAAGATTGATATTTTATTTACGAAATATTAATTTACACGATTTCTTCTCTTAATATTAACAGCACCTTCAGTATGTACATGCGCAAGTGGATGGATCGGATCGAGTTGCACAACTCGTACGTAACCAGAGAAAATTAATTGGTTTTATTAAATTCGAAATATATGTTATTTTAGCAACAACAGCTGTCTGTTCATGCAGAGAACTCTTTGAATATTAGCTGTCACCAGAAGGATTGGAAGTGATCATATGGATATTTGTTTTTCACATCATTAATGAATAAGCTATACATGTCAGAACGGAGGAACGTGTTCTACGGGCAACGTATGTGTTTGTACAAGCCAGTATACAGGTAGTTGTTGTACATCGATTGTGTTCTCGGCTATTATGTGGACTTTCGATGGAAATCTCAATGATTTCTATGGTATATTTAATGCTGGTCCTGACAATGGCAGAACAGCTACCTATGTCTATCCAGGTTACACAGGCTATGGTGGTGCATTAAGTTTAGGTCTGCATGGTACAAGTCAATCCGTTTCAATTGCAACATTCCTCAGTATATGGCATGTTAGTTTCACATTAGAAGCGTGGATCTATCCAACAGCTTTTAGTTGGACCTATGGAGGGAGTCCCGACAATGCTCTGTTCGGTCAATGTCAGTCACAATCTACGGATCGATGTTTGCATATTATATTGAGAAGCCAACGAATTTATTTTGGTTTCTATGGTGATGATTTGCAGGGCAATATCGCATTTCAAGCGAATCAATGGTATCACGTTGCCTATGCCTATGATCAAAGTACACGACAACAATACACGTATGTGAATGGAGTAAGTGATGGACAACGTACGAGCAATGAGTATAGCAGTTGTTCATAAATGACAGTGTTTGAACCATTTACCTGTTTCCAGTGAATGAAAATGGGTATTCATTGATCTTAGGTCATTTTTGAACTGCTTCATGATGGACAGGCGGGAAATTTTACAAGTATGCAAAACGTTTGTTTGTTGCCGTCTAGATAGGAACTCGAAAAAATCTGCATTGATAACCGCTACCTCGAAGTTCTTTAGTTTCTTAGGATTCTAATTGTTTTTCTAAATGATATTCAAATCATTCGTAGCACGAGAATGAAGAATTGCATATTGAGATTTGTTTCAATGAGTATTGTTAAGTAACTTAAAATGCATTTTAAAATATAATTTTTGGTGCGCTTTTGTTTAACAACAATCGAATCTTTTTTACTTTTATTAGCGAAGTTATATAGTTGAATGAATAGTGGAGCTCAGTAAGCGTATCGAAACATGTAAGAGTAGAGAGTAAGAGAGGCAAAAGCGTTTTTTTTTGCTTTTCTTTTTTTTTTGTTCTAAAAACTAAAAATCCAAAAGAACGTGTTCATATTAGCAGTTTACGAGGACGGTCGACTTGAGTTTTTTTCTTTTGAAGGCATACGTGCTAGCGTTTCTGAATCTTTGAACCAATAAGAAGTGACTTGTTGGTATCAGTATACACGTGTCACCGAGAAATAGAAGAAAACTCCTTCAAAACCACAAAAAAACAGATAACTTTTCTTCGATGCTTTTGGCTTTTTGACACGTAAATGTTTTCCCGAACTTTTTTAATTTTTATCTATCTTTTCTCAACATAGTCGGTATGTCAACTCAAATCAATTCACCTAATAATTACTTCCAAGGTTACTTTGATCAAATGAGCATAGTTGCCTATTGTAAGACAGCTGCACAGATTCTAGATGACGCTACTCATGTTGTCTATTACAAATTTGACACAACACCCGGTATGACTATTGATAGTGGACCACTGTACATCAACGGTATAAGCAACGGTGTTTCACTAACATCTTCACCATCGAAAGTCAATCAATCACTGTACTTTCCAAGCGGAACAAGTTATTATCAATTTCAAGGGCTTACCTATTTTGGCCATTCCGGTTGGTCATATTCTATTTCACTTTGGATATATCCTTTATCGAGTTCCGGTGGTACGATAGTTCATGCCAGTGGTGGTTACGGCACAGATGGCGTCGGTAATACCGGTTGGTGCTTACCAATGTTGGGATTTTCATCTTCGGGTGCGCTCTATGCTCAAACAACAAGCTCTACATCGACACTTATTGTCTTGACAGGACCTACAGTGACATTGAACAGCTGGACATATGTTACAATAACATATTCCACTACAAATGGTTTACGTCTGTACACCGATAGTACACTGCAGAGTTCTAGTACAACAGCATTTACATTTATCTCATCAGGATCACCGAATACAATTACACTGGGTAATGGTTTGAGTGGTGCTAGTAGTATTTACTGTCCACAAGGATCAATAACAAGTGCACAGTATCAAGGTTATATTGATTCATTTAGTCTATATTCAAGAGAACTGACTACAGCAAATATAGCCACATTATACACTACGCCACAGCCGTAAAAATATAATCATTTATTTCACAAACTAGTTATGTATCAACTCTGAATAAACATTACTCACTATTTTTAAACACATTTTCTTTTATAAACCATTTTCATCAATAGAATCACTTATTAATATTAACTTTTCTTACAATACAGAACACTATATTAATTTTCTACTTGATAGAATGTGATCTTTAGGGATGTGATGAATGATTTGCTTCAGCAATACCAACATCTGCACCTACACACATAAAGATTTAGTTTGCAGGCAAATAAAATTGAAACATATGTTTTGATGAGTTAAAGCGAACTCAGTAACATTCACTGTTTACCACAGCAACAACTTTGAAATAGTGAAAATGACAAGAAATAGAATTTGTCTATAACAAATTTAAGATGAGAAGAAGAAATGCATGTCGACAGGGTTTTACCTCTTCAATAAAACTAATAAAAGTGTAAGTGAGAGTCTTCCTATAACACGATCTCCAACTCGCATCCATATCCACACGCAACAATTCGATTAGAAAACAATCGCTATCATGGCAAGACAATGACAAAATCTTATGCACAAGTTATCTTAGAAGATTCGAGATGTTGTAGCCGAGCGATCTATCACACTCTTCCTGCTGTTGAAAATTTTTGGTATGCTGTAGAAAGGCCAAAAGGAAACATATCAAAGTGAAAAAACATCGAAAATTTTAACGAAAAAGACATTCTTTATGTTCGACATAATACTAACATTGCGCCTTAGATCATGCAGAAATCAAGAACTAAGAAAAATAAACTAATAGTATTATCTTTTTTCCATTTAGCAACTGTATATGAAAGATCATCTAAAGATTCCGTTATATTTATAAAACTATCATAATATTGTTCCCCAAAATTAGATATACGACGTTGAATAGCAATTGTTTTGACTTGTTTCGGTCTTGCATCTAAACTTGCAGGAAATAAAGTATATATATATCATGAAATCTATGAGTCTCTAAATTGACAATATATTTATATCTTGAGACTTCGTTAATTACGCAGATTAAATGATAAATAACCAGGAGCTTCGACTGTTTAAGAATAAGAGAGTTCACATAAAATGCTTACTCTAATTTTTTTCTATGATATATACGAATAAGGTTTATTGTTTTGGTTTTTAGTACGTTTTTATTTTTTTATTTATGAAAAAAAAACATGTAATCGATAACAACTAAATACATAGTAATAGCAATGATAACGATGATGATGATAAAGTTTTTCAAGAAAATGGAATGAGAGAGTCGACAACAACCGAAACGAGAAGATCAACGAGAAACATTACAGAGGATGAAAAAACTTCAATAATAAGGACAATGGGAAATTTAGTGCCATAAAGCGACATCTGTTGACGCTAACAAAATCGACTCTCTTATCCTTGAAGAAATTTTATAAACGACCAAATATTTGAGTGATTAAGTTGCACTCAACGATTAGAACAACTATGAAATGCTAAATAAAATATAAGAGTATGAAATTAGATAACAAATAGTATGAAATATTTACCGTTAACATTGTTACTGGTTCTCATAGTCAAACTATGGATACAATAATGAGAAATAGAAGCTTTCACAAGCCATCATTCTGGAAAATACTCTAATAAATTATTCAATGTTTTTCTTAATTTTTGTTGATAAACTTCCTACTAATTCATTGTAGATGTCTTCAATAATAGGTTCTGACAATAATGGAAGAACGATTAACTGTCGGCATAAATTTTTAACATCATCAACGGTGTTGCAAGTTGAGGATGATCCAAGTCTTGTATATTACGATAGATCGCTTGAGTGAAATAAAAGTAACAAGACACATGTGTTAACGTACAAAACTATAATATATAATAAGTCCAAGCATATGCCTTGCCCAAAAGAAATATAAAAAACTTACTTTACCTTTAACGACATCCATCAAAGCTAGTTTAAAATCAGTCATAACAATTTCCAGCGCAAAGTCGAACTTTATTTGCATAGCTATTGGATTCAACTCATTGAACAAAAATTGATATATGCTTTTGCATCTACTTGGCAACAAGTCAAAAACACAGGAAAACGCTAAACAGAGAAATAATTAGGCTCATACAGATAATTACAAGCAAAGCTAATTATCCACATTGCTCATATTTGATTAAATTTATTGTATAAATTTGATCAAATATTTTTGGACAAGTCGAGAAACATTCTATCCATAAATATCGTTTCTGCTGTGAAGTGCATTTCCAATTGTTCAAATGATACAAATAATACGATTCGCTCTCGTCATGTAATCATCTTATCAACAATCAAAAAATCGCCCTTTCGCAACGTTCTTATGTAAGAACCTGGAATATCAAATAATTGTGTCGTTAGAATTGTTGGTGTGGCAGCATGACGTGATTTATTAGATATCCTGTCTAAAAAAACCAATAAAAAGAATTTTTTTTAAATACCCTTATACTCATACTCCTATAATAATGGCATCTCCTCAAATATTTTATCATCAAATGGAATACACAGACATCACTCTCTCTCTCAAACAAATATCCTTATTCACAAACCTAATATCATCATCAACGCTAAAGACGTACTGTATCTGCCTACTATATTAATCATAATGGCACTGTTCTATCATATACTACTCGTTACTATTGTTTCGTTCATTTTTCTCCTCGCCCGCATAGATCGTGGCGTGAATTTTTGCTGCTACTAATTACTGGTGGTGCACTCGTAATTATTTTAATAAAACTATATAAAAAATATGTTCTACCTCGATTTAGACAATTCATTCGCGAAAGTGACGGTAGTAATACAACAAGAGCAAGGCCCATTAGTGAACAAGTGGAAAAGCGTAACATTAACAATAGAACTACTGCTGACGATGAAAAAATGCGAGCTGAACAGCTGTCGAAAGATCATATCGATAGACTCAATTCAATGACGAGCACACTCAATGATACCATTTTAAAATTGAATAATCTGATTCGTATGGAGCAACGGTAGCCGTCCACGTGAATGTACTTTAATAACCAGTGGTGGATCAGTCTCACGATTGGGAGCTTCAATTCTTCAGCTGGGTTGGTTATCTCTTCTTACTAAAGTATTATGGCTTGACAGTGCGCACTGCTTCTCACTTCCTTTGTCTCTTGTCTTATTTTTCTTTTTTTTGTCGGTTTTTTTTGTTGTTCTCTTGTCTTCTTCTGTTCTCTTTCCCTTCGCATATACCTCTTCTCCTTAGTGTTATGTTACTTTTCTTCCCGTCTTTTTTTTTCTTTACTTTTCTCTCTTTTTATTTTATTTTTTCTCGTATGTGGAATTCCAAATTTCAAGTCGTTTACATAAGCATCCATCACAGTTCAGCTTATTGCAAGGCTTAGCTTCGTTGGTACACCTGTTTTCTAGTTCATCTATCCCTTTAGGACCGTCAGGGTAATAGGGCAATCAAAGGCGTAAATAAAAAAAATTCATCTATTAAGATCAAACATACAAGAAAAATATTTGCTTATTTATTTCACGTTCAATTGATAATACAACTATTGTTGCAGTTGATTAATATCACTTTCGCACATTCTTCGCCATGGGTACGTGACATAGGTGTTGTTGTCTCATGTATTGCTCGTTATTTGACTTTTTCATCAAATTCACGTGCATGTATTGTTTCTTTTTCTGGAGAATGGCAATGTTCACTGATCATTTTAATCACGTGATTATTCATATTTGATTAAATTTTAGCTGAACATTTCATACATGTACATATCTAACATTTGGTAGTTGCTGTTACTTTGTTCAGTCAGAAAATCTATTTATCTGATACAAGCAGAAATTTTCATTTTTGCGACTGAATAAATATACTAATTGGCAATAGTAGATGAAGCTGCTCTGATCATGATAGGAGATTTTCAGTTGTATTATATTATTTTTCTGAGCATTTCAGTTCTTTTCTATCAAGTATTAATCATCACCGTCATTAATGGTTATAGTACCAGACCAATAGAACAACGAGATAAATAATAATAAACTATATAGGATGAGTCAGCAATTATAAGAGACATCAATTTTCTTCAATATTTTTCTATTTTTGACATTTTTCCATTTTGATATTTTTCCTTGGAACACTTCCGTGACCAACCAAATTTCTCGATCTTTTTTTGCTTATTGTCGTGTTGCTAAAATGCTCAAGATTCCAGTGGAATCCATAGTTTCATTCTTATTTTGCCATCGATGTGATTGTATTTCTTTCTTAGCTTGGAAATATACTAGTGATTTCAAAGGAACTCGTTATTTTTCAAAAGGATAGAGATCTTGATGGTGGCTTTTAGAGAAGAATTATAAGCAGACATCTATAATGTGATAATTGAAACCCAAATGACTTTATTCATACCAGTAGACAGCTTGATCCAGTCTAGAGTAGACCAGTGAGATCAGGGCTGATCTTTAGAAAACTAATCGATTGCACTGTTATGCTTCTCTCATACTTTTTTCACCATATCTACTCTCGAGTTTCTTAAAATACCCTAGTACTGCTGCAACCATCTAACTTCGTTCGACTCTCTCTCAAGTCTGCTTTTCGTTGACTTCCCAACCTATGCACTCGTTTAGTACGGGCGATCTTGATGGATGACGCCATTTTTTCTCATGAAGAATCTGTTATTGAAGGAGATGGATGTGGACGCACTTCTCTTCTTCAACGACACCCACACCCTCAAGTTTCCCATTGAGAATTCTCGTGTCATAAATCTAATGATTTATGAAGTAAGCGAAGTTTGAAAGGATGTAGGTGTAATTCAAAGAGAATGATCTAATAGTCGAATAGAATAAAGAATAGCAGCAGCTAGCCACTACTCTGCAGAATTCACTGGAGGAACGGTTCAAACTACTGTAATACATCGGAAAAATATCGACGGTCTACATCTTTCGTTAATTATTTTAAACTTAAGCACCATACTTATTCTGTGAATTATTTCGATAAAAAATCAATTGCTGAAAAGTAAGAGTTGAGACTAGCAGAATGAACGTATCTTTTCTCCGTCAAAAGATAGGTCAGGCTGTTTTTTGGTAAATTAACACTGAAGCGTATTGCTCTTTCACCTTCTGTTTGTCCAATTTTTGTTTGATTGATTTCAGTATGAAGCAACCGAATCGGTTGCGCAAATAATCGATACCTTTACGTCGAAACACAGGAGAACTAGATACACTAGAAGCAACGACTTACCAAGTCTTTGATAAATACGAGTATGATCAGAATTATCGATTTCGCTTCATACAAAATCATAAATAATTGACATTGTTCATGACTTCTTTTTTTTTCAACAGCAATCAAAGTTGAACATCCGTATTTCTCCTGATTATCAAAATTATCTCATTTAATCGAAAAAATTTTTGTTTTTGAAAAAAGAATTTTTCCAATTATGATAATCGGTTAGAAAATTATTTAATTCATAACGAGTTTCTGATCTGTTGTCAGACTATTAAAATGAAGAGTCTATTTATTTATTTATTTATTTATGATTCTAAGGAAAATAAGCGATATCATTACCATAAAAGAATGTTGTTATTGAAGTGGCATTAAAAGATAGAAAGATTCTAATAAACGTAACAATATTAAATCTACTCATCAGTTTATTCTTTCTTTTCGAGTCTAGAAATGCGATCATTGATCACAGCGTCACTGAATATGCGATGATCTCGATAAACTTGTTTTCCATAAGTCTTAAAAAAAATAATCATACAAATATTTTCTTTACGTTTTTTATTGTCTAACTCACCATGCCAAAATTGACCATATCATTAATAAATTCATCATCCTGACCACCGATAGCATCTCGTATTGTCGTTTCTGTATCGCGTGGAATGATAGAAAGTGGAAGACTAGAAAGATTCTTCGGTAGATTGGTACAATCCGAATCAGCAACACAGTGAATTTTAGCTGCATTAAAAATAAAATATGTTGGATAGTTACTGTGAGAAATTTGAGGAGTAATGATGTCAGATTACTTCCCATATCAAATTTTGTCCTTGTATACATCTGATATATAAAAGTTAGTATAGGACAAGCAGTCAAACAGAAAATATAGAAGACAAAACAACTGATGTCTTAGGACAGAATAATTTTGAGAAGGTTCGTTTGTGATTATAAGTCACATAGATCTAGTGCTGATCGTAAAGAGGTGAAGAACAACGGTCATGTATCACTGTAGTTAAAAAATGTACTTTCTCTCTCACCTGTAACTTTGCCCAAATACGTAACAACTTCGAGTATATCTTTGAGATCATTGATATTCGACCAACTAAGGCCTTTTGAATGAGTTGATACTTCATCAACAAGATAGTGCTTGCCGTGTAATGTCGTATAGCCCAGCCATTGAGGTGTTGATGCTTGCATGGCATAGGAACAGAGTACAGTTCTTAAGCCATGATGTTCAAAATACTTTTCAAGTTCAGAGTTTTTGACAACACAGCTCACAGCTGAAGGTAGAGCTTGTTTCATGGAAAGAACAATATCATTCTCTAATGCTTCTGTTGGACCCTTGATAAGAGATAATAGGAAGATAATAAATGTTTCTCAACAAGAAGTCTTTATATCTCTACATACTTCGAGGAGAATAGTATAAGATTCTGTACCAGCAGAGCCAATACCCTTTGAGGAACATTTAACAATATCTTTTATGCTGCATGAAACATTACTACCACTTGGACCTTGGATATTTTTCTTAGGTTCTGGAATGGATTCAAGATATATTGTTTGGAAAGCATCATTTATATCTTTGTATAATTGAGCATCAACATCTGTATATATTGAACGCTTAAATTTACGTTCATAATTCTCGATTACTGTCATTTTCGCTAAATGTTCGACATGAGATTGTATACGTGTTTCCTTCAATAATAATTGAATTTTGCCTGTCGTTTGTTTTAATGTTAATGGTAGTTGATCCTTTGATGAATTACAAAATTCATAAACTTGTTTTACATATGTGTCTGCATATCTTGTCAATATTTGACGAATGGTATCGTTAGAAAAACCTTTTGTATAAGCTACTATATAGAGTGATGCTAAAAGTCGTTTGACATCCCATGTAAATGGACCACAATAGCCTTCATCAAAATCATTGACATCAAAATGCAATATGCCATGTGAATCCATATAGGTACCAAAATTTTCTGCATGCAAATCACCCTACAATCAGAGACAAATGAGTTTTTTTTTCAAATCAGACATGTAGAATTTTTAGTTGAACATCTTTAGTTTTTAGCAATTTTCCGAATATTTTTGCATCACAGAATGATGAGAACATGATCGAAACATTTCGTCAAGAGAAAAAGCAAGATCTCAGTCATAATATTCTCAGAAGTATCATCAAACAGACAAGTCATGTTAAAAATTGGATTGCTGTCGATTTCAAGGTTTTTCTCAGAAGATCATCGTCTTCCTACATCAAGTAAGTACGATCGGATCCGATACAGTTGCAACCAAATTGTGTCAGAATCTTGTCATCAAAATTCCAGAAGCCACATCCGATCAAATTCTGTAAGATTCATTTCGTTTCGCTCACAGAAACTTTTCAAAATACGAGCACTGAGTTTTAGCATAATCATCATTGAAATCGCTTAGATGTCACAAAATTCTCTTCAACCTCAATGTCAGATTCTCTCGGATCCAATGGTCGGAATCATCGACCAAGGAATTGACCTGACAACAAGTCTTTTTGGTCACATGGAGGTTTTTCATTCTTGCTACAAAACGTAATTATTATTTTTCTTTATCAACTGTATACTGACTTGTTCGACCAAAAGAAAAGTGCAGATGAAAATTATTCAGAAATTTAACAAGTTTGAATGTTATTAAGTTGAATTTTTTAACACTATCTTAAATAACCAAAAATCTCTTTTTTTATCAGAATAGCTCGACTGATCCTCTCTTGTAAAGCTCTTACATGAATAAATATATTGCCTGCTAGTTGATTTCGAGCAATCCAAGGATCTTGATCGATTTTTAAATCATAATAGAACAATACTGCTGAGCCGCGATAGAAATTGAATGGATTTTCAGCCATTTTGCGGAAACGACTTCGAAAAGCATCTTCATTATTACGAATAGCATCTCCAAATGTTTCATGAAAGACATTAATAATGAATTGTTCCCGTTCATCATCTGACTGTGTTCGAATACGATCTTGTGCTTTTTGTTCAGCATTGACTTCGAATGAAAGATTATTTTGAGTAGCACGCAAACGTGATGATGCAGATGAGATCCGTGGCCCTGTTGAAACGTCTAAAAAATGAAACAATCAATATGAATTTATTATTCGAAAAAAATATTTTTAGAAAGTTTTTAAATTTTGAAAAAATAGACGTTGTGAATCTTTACATATTTGCATTTTCATCTAGATTTTCATTCGATAAAATATTATCACAAATCGTATGTAGTGATATAATGAAATTCTTTGATGAACTAGTTTTCATCGGATAAAAACGAAATGTATATTGTTTTAGAAGAGTAACAGATATCTGCAATCGATTTTCTTGCCAAACCTTCAAAACAAATTCTATCTCATCAACTTTTGTTCTTCTGTCTTTTCAATGCAACTCTTATCTTTGTTTTGTTTTTGCTTTTCGCTTACTAGTTACATTTTTTCGTAAAGTTTCTCTTTGAATTATTTTCTGTGTTGTATCCACTTACAAAAAGCATATTTCATAAAATAGCTTTGAAAGATACTTTTTTCTCTTCAAATTTTCGTAGATATTTGTTAGAAAAAAGAACTGAGAAGAAGAGAGTGATCTGTCCAATCGTGATGGAATCAAGTTTCTTTTTACTTTGGTATTATCGATATCCCAATGGAATGAAGCTGGAGAATGCTGAAAATTTCAGAATATAATTATAATGGTGATTCAGTCACGATTTTTCTAATGAAGCAGAAATACTCATAAAAGTCAGTTAGTTTTTTGAACAGAGCGTAAAAAATTAGCGTTGGAGCACCCATTTGTACAATCAGAAGTGTCTTGCTTTTGGCTAAAAATGAATTACAGAATATTTTCGTGACGAAATCAACATCGTAAATGGACTACTTTTCCAATGTCAATAACTTTTTTAAGGAGCGACAAAACTTAGATCTCTTGCTATAACTAAAGAATCTAATCAAGGCAGTTTCAGAACTTGCCGCTGGTTTTGAAAAAACAACACATATTTATCTTCATGAAAAGTCACAAAATAGAAACTCATGTTAAATATTAATTTTCACTGATTCAGAGTGACGTTTGTTCAACAGCATTTTCCTCCTAAAATATACGAAACTATTTAAAGAAAAACTATATTTTTGTACGCTATCGACCATGCTTTACAACATGGTTGTATTCATTTTGTTTGTATTTGTGCAAGATACAAGAATGAAACTCAAGAAAAACATTATAGTTTTCTTTTTTCTACTTCAACCTTATTTTACGATAATGCTACAATCAGAACTGGAACCAATTCGACAAATTAGCACCAATCTGGTGTGTATCGGTTCAAACTTTCAAATTCTATTGCACTTTTTTTAAGAGTGTTAGTTTACTTGAAAATATACAAAATGAAGCATTTTTGTTGTCAAATGCAAGTTTAGGAATACGATAAGAGACAGAATCTTCAAAAGTCGCAACTGATTCAATTGAATATTTAGTGGTATGTATAGTAAATGCAGAGAACACTGTTGATTCACAATATTCTCGTTCGTTACTTCAAGTCAGAACTGGCTGAAATATCAATCTTTATGTACAAGGTAATGAAAATATTGATAGCCATCTGCCGACGTTTGTATCTTCACGGTAGACGATCATACTACCAATTTCTCACGAAGAATAAAACCGAACTGAACTGCTGTCTTAATTGATTCTGTAACTAAGAAACTATCTAGCAGACGAATGCAGAAAATAAAATTTGATAATTTACAGGAAGTCTTAAGGAGAAACAATCAACTTCCATAACCCATGGTCAGTTGTTTTCGGATTCTGATGAGAATTTTTATAAAAATGAGCCATTCAAAGTCAATAAAAGTAAGAAAAACTGCTGAAAACTAAAGTATGCGCAATAGATCATTAGAAACGACGGAAACGAAGAAGCATCTAAAACCTTCGATTTCCAGATCAAGTGAAGGAAATTTGTGAAAATCAGAAACAATCCAGAAACTTATGGGAGACGTAAGTAGTCACGTAAAGGTCGTCAACATACTGTGAGTCCAGGGCGATTTTGAAAAATATATGAATATGCTGTTGTCCTCTTAAACAATATGCATTGGAATTCTTAATTTGGTCAGTCAAAGATTAGTTTTTGGCACCTCCAACAAAAGAAAAAGTGTACAATCGGTCCAAAAAGTTTTTTCATACGGATGTGCAAAATGATATTACATCACTAATAATGTGATACCGAATGCTTTTGGAAAGTTACGATTTTCACTACTCAAAAGTCACACATTTGATGTAACAGTCACTCAAAAATCAACTTTCTAGCATCTTTTAAGAGTGAACCGAAAGGATTGTAACCCAAAAGTCTGAATATCACAGACAAGAAGTATTGATAAAATTAGTGTTTTGTGTCGATTTCAGACAAATATTTCACTAAAATGAGTTCTACAAAGTTGATGCTATCTGAAACAGAATTTTGTTCTTTTCAATTCGATATCATTATAAGTCCAAAATCATCCCAACAAAGACCCCAATCATTAAAAATTTCTGAGGTCCTATAATTTTTATGAAAACTATCAGAGAAAACCCTTGACTAAAACGATACATAAATTGCAATATACCGTTCAAAAGACCATGAAAAAATTTATCTTTTGGCATATTTCGTAGTTTCATGCGGAATGATCTTGTTATTTGTAATATACAAACAAGGAATACTACAAGTTTTATTATTTACTGAAGAATGCTTTCCACAAAAATATAGTCTCTCATGAACGAAATATTCTAAATCGAATCATCTAACCAAATATTTTATTTACTTGTATTTTGTGAGGCAGACGGAGGTCGTGATGGTGGCTCTAAAAAATGATTGAATAAATTCTAGATTGAAGTATTTAAGACAAGGATTGATTTACTTGTAATCTTTGAAGCTGAAGGAGGTCGTGATGATGACATATTTTTCGTTGATGTGTCTTCAATGTATAGTAACCGGTTCAAAATGAAAGAGAAGCAATGATAATAACTATAAATCTAAAAATATCAAAATACAAATTGATATGTGTCGGTGAAGAGAAAATCCACTACACCCTCATAACCAACCAAGAACGTCGTGTTCTGTCTTCTACGATCACGATGATACACATCTGTAGTGCTATTGCCGATCCTTATTCGCAATTAATCACATCTTCACACTTATTATCACACACAGCTACATAAATGGTATGTTTAGAATTCATAAATATATTGAATAGAAATAGTGAAGAGCAAGATCTCCACTGATAAACATTTACATTGTGACGCGATGTCTTCTCAATCTTTGAGGAAAATTTCTGTACTTACAGATTAAACGAAGAAATTGATGATGAAATGATTACCAACAAGTATTGAAAACTGATGAGAACAGTCATATAGGCAACAATAATGAGTTTCTATGTTAGAGAGAAAATCTTCCCAACACATAACTCTTTGTTGGAAGCGGTCTATTGTCCATAACTAGGATTTTTTAATTCAAGTAGAGCTTGAAAAGAATTTCCACCCATCCAATGTCGTTCCATAGAGATGATCATATTACTGAATTGTTGTATCAAAAACTGTGTTGTACAATTTCAGCTTGGGATTTTCCTGATGAAAAAAGATTTATTATCATGAGAAAATGGTAAGAGTTTCAGTAGAAGATAAAATTTTCTCCTTAAGATAGTTAATCTACAAATTTGTAAAAGTAGAGAAGGAACAAATCGCGTCATCTACACATCCAAAATCTCCAGAAGGAAAATTCTTTTTCTATTACAACTCTGGTAAGAAATATTAATGACTATAAATTATATTCATAGGCATTAACTTACATTGAAAATGTGTGTCATTTAATTATGCATAAATAATCTTACCAGGGCGAAATACAGTTAAATGATTAAATCTTAAGAAGGAAACCATATGAAGAATAAATTCGCAGGATTTTGGCAATGAGATCATTGCGAAGTTCCTATATTTTTAGAATATCCTATCTATATATCTGCTAGATGTTCGTAGAAGTATGAACATTGCCAGTAACTATTCGAAAGTCACCTTTTACTTGTATAAATATTTTTTTCACTTGAGTATCTTACTTATCCACGATCAAAATTTAAATTTGAGTTGGCAATCATCAGTGAAGAGTAATTGCTGAGTCAAAAGCTATTAAAGAACAAGAAAATACCAAATACCGATGTTTGTATGAACAGAAAATGCTTTTTCTAGTGCTTGCACTTTCCACTGTCTCTGTTTAAGATTGCAGCAGCGGAAAGATGTAAAAAAAATTTCTCGATGATGTCTCCTTCTTGAAGTCACCTCTGCTGCGTACTTTTTCTCAATGAACCATATATTATCAAAGGCGATAATTATGTGAAAACTTGAAAAGCGATTGTAATTGAAAAAGAAAGAAATATAATCTACACAATTCTTAAAAACTATAGATTCAAACACACAGCGCGTAGGAAAAGTTTCGAAAAGTTCATATAATACACAGCGATCATTCCAGATGAGGAAGCCTAGTTTCTCGATTTTTAGTTCTCGATGGTAGCTACTCCCTGTTTTGATGTCGTCAACTTGCCATAATGGCAAAATAATTGCTCGCCCGATAAGATGATGGATTTCTCTGTTTGCATAGCATTTCTGTTTGCATTTCTCTCGTCCGATCCTATTTGATGTGGCCGTTTGCAATATAACGATTGTTGCATTTCTTTTGAAAGTGTATTCATGTAGAGGA